GAAGGTCATAAAGGAAGAAGGGGAGTAAAGGGACCATCTTCTCTTCCAAATGGCATCTTCATGCTCTCATGAGATGTGTCTTCCAAAGACTGTTATTCATACCCAGCCGGTAAGGCTGATCACAGGAAACAGGAAGCACATGCTACATACTATAGAAACGATCCCTGAAAGTTTAGCTTGAGGAAGTGCATTCTACAGATCCAGGTGAGTAGAGAAATCTGTCAGTTCCGTCCCATCTTGGGAAGGATCTGTGCTCAAGGGACATCAGCCCAGCATGCCCGTTGTAAGTTGTACCTATGTCACAGTGCTGCTCTGGATTTTAATGTTCTTTTTATTTTCCTTATCCCACAAGTTGAGACTCTATACATGCTAGTCTCTCTCTGATATTTTTATGTACCTTATAATTTTTGATCTATATTCTCGCATAGAGTCTCTGTAGATAGAATCCACATGATGGGATGTAAGATGGTTTAACAGTAATGACTACCTCGAGTCACATACTGAATGGTGATGCATAGGAAATGCTGCCTATGTTTCTTCCTAACAGGGGGATCTATTGCCATTCAGGTTCCAAATAAAGAATTTTCTTTTATGTCAAGAAGAGTTGATATATGATCTTTGCCATTCCAGCCAGGTGGCCAAGAATACAGACACAGGACACAAAAACTGCTGGCAAGAAAATAGCTTGGAGCACATAAACACAGAGAAAGGTTGTGGACAGGTGAACAATCACCTGTGGTTTGCTCCACAGCTTAGAGGTACAGCAGATAGGGTGTCTTGGTTACTTTTCTCTCATTGCTGGGACAAAATATCTGATGCCCAAAATTAAGGAAGGAAAGGTTTATTTCACTTACAGTTTGTGGACGTTTCAGTCCGTATTTGGCAGACTATAAGGCAGAGTGGCACATGGCAGAGAGCTACAGCTCATGTCGGCAGAACACAGCAGCAAAACAAGCACACACAAGGGAGGAAATGGCCAGAAGCACAAAAGCCAGGAAATGGCCCCAAGCAGCCTCTTGCTCTCCCTTACATATGCAAACTATCCACCCCAGGGGAGGTGCAGCTTTCACATCCATAATCAATCAAACTCTAAAAGCCTGCCCCATGGTTGCATGAGGCTTTGGGGGAACACCCAGACACAAACCATAACATAGGGCAATATCTAGAGTCCACCCTGAACAACTGGATGAGCAGATTGAGTTTTTTTTTGTGAACAACAACATAGAGCTTAATACAAAAAAGGTGCTAAACCAGGGACTGGGGATTTAGCTCAGTGGCACAGCGCCTGCCTGGCAAGCATGAGGTTGTGAGTTTGATTCCTGGTACTGGAAAAAAAAAAAGGTGCTAAACCAACAACATAGAGGATTTTCACCTAAGCCACACGCTGATGGCTATTTCTTTGTATATGAATGCTCCCCTCCAAAAGTTCATGAGTTGGAAATGGGATTCCCCCATTTATATGTTGATGGTATTTGGGGTGGGACCTTTGGGAGGTGGTTAACATTAGACAAAGTCACAAGGGTAGGGGGCCCGTGATGAGATTAATGGCTTTTATAAAAAGAGGATTAGAAATCTTTTCTACTAGGTTGCCTTGTTCTAGTCCCATGATGCCCTCTGTCCTGTGAGGATATAGCCAATGGATCACATGAGTTACCAGCACCTTGATACTGGATCTCTAGGCAGAAAGGAGGGTGGCCTGCTGGGCTCTAGTCAGAGCCATGGAGAGAAAGTACTACAGGGATAGAGAGGAGTTCTCTACCCTGAAGGGGTTGAGGGGTTCTCCACCAACAAGGGCACAAACCCTGGTGTCAGAACAGAGCAGGTACAGGGGCAAAAGGGGAATAGGCTGTGCTTCCTGCCCCCCAATAAAGACTCAAACCACTGAAGAGAGTCTAATGGGGGGTAGGAGTGAGGTTGAGGAAAAGTTTTGGGGAAAAGTAGATTTAAGAGAGACAGAGAAACTCCTGGTGCTTGTGAGTTGCAAGCACCTGATAAGAGACAAGGAAACATATTTCCACCAGATTTGCTGGGCATGGTGAGGCATCTCCTTTTGCATTCTTTGAATGACTCCAGTGAAGATGCAAAGTAGTGAGCAATTAATGATACATATCTGAGTGGCATTTCCTTTATAGCAAAACGTAGCTGAGATCTGTAGGACTGATGTAAATTTAAGCTTCCATTAAAAGGTCAGGAAACCATGTTCCTCTCATTCATAATTGATTCTTTCAGTTATTGTCATAAAAGCCTTGACTGAGAGAAACTTTCAGATAGTTTTATAGATCATAGCTACCTGGGTCCTTAGTCATTTCTCATCCCATGTCTATGAGCTCAAACAAAGGGACACTTGTTAGAGGGAGGGCCACTTCCGCACACAGGACACAAACAGCACATGAAGGTTGGGGATTGTGGCAAGAGGGCCCCTCCCACCAAGTCATTTTCCTTGTTACAACGAACCAGGTTCCATGAGAGTGGGTCCTCCACTTCTTATTAGCTGTGTGCCCTGGGGCACATTTCTTCATCCGTCTACTTGAACACCAGATTCCTCAACTGCAAAGTGCAGAAAACACTACTACTTACCTTGCAAAGAGATTAAGTGAGATAATCTCTATGTAACACTCTGCACAGTGCTTGGCACACAGTTACATATTGCTTCTCACAGAGGTTACTTCATACTAGTAACTACTAACTAGTAACTAGTAACTAGGGTTTGAAAAATGTAGTTAAGCTTGAAAATGTGACAGATTCATGAGTAGGTTGTCATGATTATTGGTTGTACCAATAATCATGTATTTCCCAGTTTCTTCTCTATTCTTTTTCCTTTTTTTTTTTGAGACATGGTCTTGCTATGTAGTTTAGGCTGGTGTTGAACTCACTATGTAGCCTCAAAGTCACAGCAGTTCTTCCTCAGCCTCCCCAGTGCTGGGGTTATAGGTGTCCATCAGCAGGCATGACTCTTCTCTATTCTTTTCATCACTCCAACCTGATAGTTGGAGTTTGGACCCCTTGGATTACACCCCCAAAGGAGGTGGGTGGTGATCACTTCACTGTGGCTGTTGAACACTTCTCCCCTGAACCATCTGGCTCCCTGTGTGTGGTGGACTGACAGCTGGTGGTCAACCTGTTACGACCAGATGGACTGAACCAGTGTGGTGCTATGTGTGGGAGGGTTGTCACCAGCAACATAAGAGGGAGAACTGGAGAAGAAGAAGAGAAGCTGTTGGGAAGCTGTTGGGGGATGTTAGAGGCTGTAAGGAGCTGTTGGTTCTCTTGGAAGAGCTTGTCATGCTGGCTTTCCTGATGAACTCGGTTGTTCTCTTCTTTGAAGGAGCTTGGGACTTCGTTCTTGTTGAGAAAGTCTTTGGCTCACTTTAGGGGAGCTCTGGTCCTCACTTTGAGCAGTGCTCCTGGGCTCCAGAGGGAAAGATGGTGCACTGTCCAGTCTCCTGGAGAAGCTTGTCTCATTGGCTTTCCTGATGGGAATCCTGCTGTTCTCATCATCGGAGGAGCTTGGGACCTCCCTGTCCCTGAGGATGATTATAGTACTTTTTGGGGGAGCTCTGGTTCTTACTTTGAGCTTTGCTTCCTGGCTCCAGTGCAGATCCCTCAGCCTGCTAGCACAGATCCTTCATCCTGTAGACTCAGACTTTCTAGCTTTTACCACTGACCTTTGGGTCTTCACAGCACAGATCATAAAACAGGACTGCATCAGACATTGTCGTGGGCTCTAGGCCTCCAGTTGGGCTAGTGGAGGGCTGGACTCATGCAGGACATGACCATGAGATTCAGGCCTTCAGCTGGATTCTTTGGTCGTTAGTGTGTGGACAGATTTCCTACACTCTCTTTGTATATGATTCTTTGGGTGACTATTATAAAATAATCTTATAAAATATGTGTCCTGTATTGTATTGTACCCCTTGCAAAACCCCAAGCTACGACACTGTGAGACCTCTTCAGCACACTGACCTTGGGTTATCATAGTTGGGTCATCTGTCTCAGCTACTGTACTTATTGTAATTGAATGCAGCGACAGGACAGGGCTTATCCACCTTGGAAACCCTGATAACCTCTGTGCCTGATTCCCCAAGTGATAAGGATTTAATAAGTAAAATGAGTGACTAAAGATAATAATCAAATGAATTATTCATGGCAGGCAGTGTCCTTTGTTAAACAAGACCACTGTGTGTTGTAGTAACTATAGATGCCTGTCCCTTGGGTGTTCTGGCGCTTATAGTTCTGGCTAAGTCAGGCCACTTGCCCACTTGCCCTCCTGGCGATTTCTCTGGCTTATCTCCTGGCACTTTCTGGCTTTCTGGTGCCACTGTGAGGTCAGAGAGGGCTGTGTCTGTCCTACTGTTAGATCTAAAAGCAAAGCTCTGCCCTTTCATCTTTTTGATGTCAGGAAGCAGTTGTCTGCCATATTCCTTAACTTTTCATTAACTTTTAGCTATTGTTCATTAACTTTTAACTATTTAGGGGATGTTGGGAGAGGTGTTCCCTCTGATGCCTTTGACTTTCTACTCATAGGGACACTTGAAAGTCTCACCAGCATCCAGCTATAGGCTCTGAGAAGCAGAACCCAGGCCCCAAGGTAACACCTCCTGGAACACAGCAGATTCACTTGCCCTTCTCTTTACAGATTAGGGCCTTAAAGCCAGGTGATTCTAGGACTCTGAGCCTTGCCAGTTAATCTGAGCCATGACATTTGTAAGTATTCATTTTCTGAGAGTAAAAAATTAAGTGAACCTCCTTGTCCCTGGAATCAGAAAAATGTGAATATTTTTCATTTAGCCAAAAACCCTTCCTCCTCCCTGCAGTGGGAACTTTGCCTTTTCATCAGCACTGATAAAGTAAAAGGTGTCTGACATCATACCACACAGGGCAGGGACTCGATGGCAGTGGCTCATCCTCTTGTGTGTCATCCATGTTCTAGAACAGTTCATAATAGCTCTCACTCCAGCACGTGGGGAGAAGCCCCACTTCCTGTTCATTGTCACACTTACCCACTGGTGGAGTCCAGAAATCCTGTAGCACCGGAGAGCTGGGGCCAGTTGAGCTCATCAGTAAGAGCTGTTGGCAAATCGGAGAAGGAGTTCTAGAGAAAAAAATATAGAGCGTCATGATCAAAGCGGTCACTTGCTTTCTACAGGCAATTAGAGAGTCCATGGTCAAAGCACTGTTCTCTGACTCTCTTCTCTCTCTCTTAGAGGCTTTTGCCCTTTTTATTTTGGAACATTTTCTAACCAAGTCGCTAAGCAGCCTATGCTGGGCTGGAATTTGTGGTTCTTCTGCCTCAGTTTTGCAGAATGCTGGGATTATAGGCTGAGGCATCATGCCGAGCTCTGCCTCTCTTTAAGAGCTTTTGGTGTTTAAAGCACATGGCTCAATTTGACCCTCACTAGAGAATTCACAACATTCGTCACCTCCTGTGAACCCCATTCTGCTCCTGTAAAGCAGGTAGAATATGAGACTGCTCACACATTTGAGAGCACTGCTCCTCCACTCAGGTAAACCTTCCACTCTTAAAACTTTCAGAGATTTTCTCCATTTTTCCACTTGGATCATCAGAAAGTTGATTGCCTGAAAAGTAATTACCCTGAAGTATAATTCCCAAGCCTCCTCGCAAATGCCTTTGTGGAGTTCAGATCTATGCTCTTCATCTATAAGGTGGTGCCCCTGGTCTTCTGGGAGGCTGCAGACATTTCTGAGAATCTAATTATGATTCCTTTTCCCCACAAAGATGCATGTGTACTCAGGACAGCCCAGGACTGCAGGAAGTTCACAGACCTCACTATGGCTTGAATGTGGTTTAACCCCGCTGCAATTTATAGTGGAGTTTAATCTTCACCATGAGGTTTTAAGAGGTCAGAAACTTAATCTACTATGGTCTTTGGAGTTTGGGGGCCTTTGGGAGATGTTAACAATAATGGAATTCATTTGAACCATATTTCTATGGCTGGTGCAAAATCACAGAAGAAAAATATGGTCAACTATGACCTCTTCCTATTTCTTTTGTATGTGGCTTCTGGGGACAAGTCCTTCCTGTGATATAATTTCTAGAGACAGCTTACCTAAGCTGGTGTGTTTGGGGCAGGACTGCCAGACTTCACAGATAAAAGTTTAGGCTGTTCAGTTAAATTTGGATTTCAGGAAAACAAGGAATAAATTTTAGCCTTTGTACATTTCATGTATAGGTATACTAAAAAATTTTATTTGTTGCTGATCTGAAATTCAAATTTAACTGGGTGTCCAGAATTTTACCTGAGAATCCTCCTTTGGTTAAAGACCGTAAAGGCAAGCATTCCATTTTTGCCTTGGCTGAAAGGAAACCTCGGTGAGTGGCTCCAGGAGGCCTCTGCTTTTCTCCACATTAGAAACCCACACTTTCTTTGGATGAACACGAAAACTTTGAGCCCTCTTTAAGGCTGTTTTGGAGTCTGAAGTAAATTAAAGGTAATTCCTTAAGACAAATCACTGCTCCCTTCTCTCTTCTTCCCTCATGGTGATTCTGCTCCTGTCTCCTACATTAAATCTGGTACTGGCGGGAAAGAAAAGCCATGTTATATATCTTTTACTAGGCCCTTGAAAATCTGTCTGAGTTATTCTTTCTGATTAAAACCACTACATGTATGTTATAAAAATTCAAACATCATAGTAATTTATAATGTAGAATTAGAAGCCCTTTGTCACCTTCCCCCATGATGTGACTGCTGTGGGATGGGCACTGTTAACAGTGTCACAATATCCAGTACTGATAAAATCTACTCTAGGTCTTTGTACTTGGAGAAAACCCAACTAGACTTCCTATCAGAGTTTTAGAGAATGAGAACTCAAAATAATTATATTTCACAATTGTAGACTGCTAAAGAGTTGAATTTTGTCCCTCCAAAAAGATATGTTGAAGTCCCAACCCCTAGTACATCGGAGTGTGATCTTCTTGGAGACAAGTCCATTGCATATGTAATTAGTTAAGATGAGGTCATGCTCGACTACGGTGCCTCCGTAACTCAATGACTGGTCTTTACAATAAGAAAAGCAAGAGACACAGAAACAGGGGGAATCCATGTGATAAAGGAGGCAGGGATGTGGGTGATGCCTCAACCAGCCAAGGAGTGCCCAGGATGGCCAGCAGCCTCAGGAGCGAGAAGAGAGACACACACGGAATCAGGTTTTCCTTCAACCTCTGGGGAGGAGTCAACCCTGCTCATGTCTTGATCTTGGATTCACAGCCTCGGGGACTCTGAGATGATATATTTGTGTTGTTTCCAGCCACTACTTGTTTAGGGAACACTAGGAAACTAATACCTGACCTGAATTGAATAATTTGCTTATAGTTCTTATTCAGAAGTCTAAGATATAGAACTTTCATTATGTTGGTTTACTTTTAACATAAGACAAGTGACAAAGAAATTCAAACAGCTGGTATTCTAGGATGCTGAGTGCATTTTCATGGATCTCTGGCTTCCTCTGCTCCTCCCATCTTAATCATCTCCTCCCAAATGCCAAACCCAATAACTTTTTTTGGTACTGGAAATTGAACTCAGGACCTTGTGCTTGCTAGGCAGGTGCTTGTGCCACTGAGCTACATCCCCACCTCTCTCCACCCTGTTCTTATCCCATGTGTGGCTTCCAGTGTGGTGGAGACCAGAGGAGTGGTCAGGAAGGATGGCTTCCTGGGAGACACCTGCATTCAGCATGATTTATCTTTCAAAGGAACAGAAACAAACTCACTGAAAGGAGCCTTCCACTGAATCTCAGAGGACTCTGGAGTTCCAAAGGCTGGTACTTTGTCACCCCTTGGTAGCTGGTACCCATCTCTTTCTGCTCAAAACTCCACCATTACCATGACTCAGCTACTCTCTGTTCTGATTTTTATTTCTCCTGCCACTATGAATAAAACTTTCCTCTGCTTTTTACCTTTTATCCACACCCCTCCCCTCTTTCTGCTTAAAATGTGTGTTTGCTGTAGGATTTGAGGATATTCAATTCTGCTAGGAAGGACAAGAAAAACAAACAGGATGGATAAAACTCACAAGCTGTGTCAAGCAGAGATAGTGAGAAGCAGGAGGGTTGTGAGATGTTAGCAGAATTCATGAGCTATGTTCTGTCAGTCAGTCACCCATACAACCTTTCAGAAAGGAAGTGAAAGATGTACTCCTGATCCACTACGCCCTTACCCTTACTCTGCCATCTGTTCAGTGGTAACTGCGGGTTTGGAGCTAGGTTTCTGCTTCTGCACAGGCCACTCTGCCTTCCAGAGGAAGGTGGTCAAGACCTCTGCAGGCATAAGGAACCATGTCTAATTCCCTCTGTAGGTGGAAGTAATGGGGCAGGGGTGGGAATTCTGAGTGTGCTACCAAAGTGGGGAATGTGCTTTGCCCTGGAAACCAGAAGATCTGTCTTCTCTTTCTGATGCCACACATAGGTGTGATAAAAATATGACAAATATTTAATTTAAAATTTACTACAGTGAAAGACATGTTGCCATGAATCCCCCTAAAAATACTTCCCTCTCTCTGAACATAGTTATCCCATCATTTTGTCACTTTCTGAAGCAGTTCTGGAAGTCCTTCATGAGTGTCTTTAGTTGTGCTGTCCTTGTTGCCTCAGTGTCCTCAATCAATTCAAAATGTTTACCTTCATGGTCATTTTGACTTTAGAGGAGATCCAGAGGATGCACCGGGGAGATCCAGTGAACAAGGTGAATGAGACTACACTATGATGTTTATGAGCCTGCCTTTCTGCTGGATGACACTAGGCAGCAGCATTCACTGTATTTTTGATCACAGTTGGAAAGACACTTATGAAAGAGGGCCTTCAGAACTGCTTCTGAAAGTGTCAAAAACGTGGATAAGCATGTTTGAAGTGAGAAGGAATCATGATGTGTCTTTTACTATAGTACATTTAAAAAAAATTTAAACATTCACTGGCTATTTTGATCACTCCTTTTATAGTTAAACTCCATGATATAGATACAGTGCCATCAGAAGTGGGTCCATGCTCCATGCAGCCCTCATTCTCAGGTGGCTGGTAAAGTTTTTGTCTCCAGTGAGGGAAGAGGAGGAAGGCTAGCTAGTTGGGGAAATGGTGTGCAACCGTGTCTTTGGAATTGGGGTCTCCATGTCCAACTGTTCTCCTAGTTCAATCTCTCTGGCCACTCTCCACCTCTCTGGAAGAAATGAGTTAAAATTAACTACCTAGGAGACCCATTTGCCATTCTCTAGGAAGTCCCAGTCAGCCCTGGGATCTTTCCTATGGGATTTTAAACTGCTGTGGAGAGTGCCTGGTGCTGGGAGAAGGATGAGTTTGTTTCCTCAGCTGTAGCCTTAGAAGGCCTGTGCAGACCAGCTGCATAGGTTTATCAGAGTGATTTGATTAACTTCAAAGTAATACAAAGCTGTGTTTTCCTGACTGAAGTCTTAGACTCTAATTACAGTGTTGCTATGAGATTTTACTCTTTCTAGCTGTACATATCAAGGAAGAGGTAGCTTTAACAGTATCTCATTTTCAGCAACTCTGTTGACTACAGGAATATTATCTGGTTCAGCAGACTGGTGGGAAGATCAAAAGACACAGTGAGAAATAGGTTGACAAGCCAGAGGTCCTGCAGTATGTAAAGCGTTATGGTTAGGACGGACCACCTAGTGCTTTTTTCCAAGAAGACTATCACAGATGTAAGGGGGGGGGGGACATTTATTGTCACGTAATAGAAAAGAGATGAGCACACCAATGGCAGACTTGATATATTTTTTTCTTCCTTTGTAAATATAGTAGATAAAAATGAAAAGTAACAGCCATTAATAGTAAATGCCTTATCGACTTTAGCAACAAGAGAATGTTTAAATCATTTTACATTAAACACTGAAAGCTTTATTCATGCAACATTATACCCAAGATATTTCAGGCATTTAAGGCAGGAAAAATGCAAATTAAGATTTCCATCATCGGGGCTGGGGATTTAGCTCAGCGGCGCCTGGCAAGCGCAAGGTCGTGAGTTCAGTTCCCGGTACCGGAGAAAAACCAAAAAAAAAAACAAAACAAAAAAAAAACCAAAGATTTCCATCATCAACTCCTGCTTATTCCTCTTGAGCATCT